TTTTTTTTTTTTTTTGGTCTGTTTGTTTAATTTTTGGGAGAGCTCCTGCGATCTTGGAAAAGCCTCAGACGCCATCTACAGTTAAATCGTAGATAACTACTCTCTCCGGCACCCCCCCCTCCTTCCACGCCCCCCACCCTTTCCACCAAAAAAGGGGGTGCAGCGCGGATTCCGTCTGCCGAGCGGCGCGAGCCGGTGGACCCGAGCCGGTTTCCCTTTTCTCTCCGCCGGGCTCTGGCGCGTGGAGAGCGAGCCGCCGCCGTGCGCTCCCCGAAGGTCGCACCAACTGGAGCAGGGCTCCTGCGCCCCGTCTGCAAGTCTGAAGCCTGCGCGGGGATCGCTCCGGGGGACCCGGCGCCGCAGCTCCCGCTTTAGCCACCCGCCTGGGCGTCCAGACCCACGTTGGAAAGAGAAGGGGAGAGAGAAACTAAAAGTGCGGCGATTCTGCACATCGCTGGCTGCTGTGGGGTAACAAAAGGACCCGAGCCGCTGCCGACCGACCGAGTACCCCCGGGAGCCGGGCTCGGAGCAGACCAGGTGCCCGGCGGCGCCCATTTGGGGCTCCTCACTCTTTCTGCGCGCCCCCCNCCCCTCCCCTCGCGCCCTCCTTTTAAAATCCGTGGCACCGACCGAGGCGCCTGCAGCCGCGCTCGCCAGCGACTCCTCGCTCCAGCGGGTTTTTTGTGTGTTGGTCGTGTGCGCTCCCCACACTCATGAACATACACAGGTCCACCCCCATCACAATAGCGAGATATGGGAGATCGCGGAACAAAACCCAGGATTTCGAAGAGTTGTCGTCTATAAGGTCCGCCGAGCCCAGCCAGAGTTTCAGCCCGAACCTCGGCTCCCCGAGCCCGCCGGAGACTCCGAACTTGTCGCATTGCGTTTCTTGCATCGGGAAATACTTATTGTTGGAACCCCTGGAGGGAGACCACGTTTTTCGGGCGGTGCATCTGCACAGCGGAGAGGAGCTGGTGTGCAAGGTAAAAGCGCCCTCGCTTCGGGTTTGCTTTTTGTCTTTCGGGAAGATTCCCGGCCCTTCGGAGGGGGCGCGAGGGGGGCGGGAGGTGGCCGAGCCCCGGAGCCCCGGGGAGGGAGAGTCTCCGCGTAATAGCGCGCGGCCTTGTTCCGTGGGTTTATTTATTTATTTGCTCCTGTGCGACTAGTTGTTGCGAAGTTTTTCGAGCCTTGCAGACAATGGGGCGGGCTGCGGCGGGGGCGTTTTGGGAAAGCCCGGGGCGGGCAGGGCGGCGGGACCTGAGCGTGGGCCGCGGACACGCGTGGTCCCGGAGGCTCCTGGAGCTCCCTCGAGCGACGCTGCGTCCCACCGCCCAGGGGGCTTCTCCGGGTGCCTCGCCCCCTCCCCTGCAACCTGGAGCCGGGCAGGGAATCCCCCCCCCTCCGCGAATTTCCAGGCGAGGATGACTCGGTTCCTTTCGCAGCCATTGTTCTTAGCAGCCAGCAGGTGTTAAACCTTTGTTCCGAAGGTGCCCTGTTTTAACGGAGACACACAAAGGTGTCCCCTCTGGCTGAGCCCAGGGGCCCAGCGCGGGGAAGGAGTTTACAAAGAGCTTTCTCCTGCCTGGAGCCTTAAAAGGAGGGTTGTGGGCGGAAATCAAAGCCGCCTGCACACCTTCAGGGGTAGGAAATAGTGACTCCTACTGAGTCTTTCTCTCTGGTGGGGGGGGGTCAGTTTCTTCTCCCCCTCAGGTTCCCAGCTTGAAGCCCCTGGCCCCCCAGCCCCTGCCCCAAACACACACCTTTGCCTGTAAGGTCTGGAGCCTCAGGGGAGAGCCTCCCGGATACAGAGATGGACACTGCGGTTTCCTTTTTGTCTCTGACCCTGAATAGTGGCTGGTTTAGGTACCCCCTGTCTGTGTGTCTTTGTAGCCACCCACAGGGCACCAGACAAGGGGATGAGCTGGAGAATAGTTGCAAAAAAAAAAAAAAGGAAGACCTTAGAGCATAGCGCTCCCCAGGAATTGGACAGAGATCAGGAATTCATTGTTACTTCATTTTAGATGTGCTCACTGTTGTTTTTGCCTGAGGGGGTGGGTAGAGAGGGGGGCCCATCAGGAGTGGGGACCCCTGCTGTGTTTGAAATGGTCAGTCTGCACAGCTAATGCTACAAATAATGCGTGACACTTTTACCATTAACCGCAGACTGCTTTGTGGACTTTTATTTCATAGGGGACTGGAGGGTTTCATTGTAAAACATGGGTTTTGTGGAGGTCTCCAGTCAGTTTTGCAATTGTTCAGACCCGACCTCAGGGGAACAGAAGAGACTCTTTTAAATATTGCTCGCTGCTGGTACTGAGCATTTGGTATTTTGCATCTTCTCCGAGTTATTGACACCCAGAGCAACTGCGCCTGGTTAACCAAAATTCAGTAGGCTATTCAGAGCTGGATTGAATTCTCAGAAGACCTACAATGTTGCACAATAGGGTAGTCATCCTCTGAAATGAATGAGTTCCACAGAGCTGCCACTCGCCTATGAAATATGCACAATCACCCAGCAGCGAGTGTTTTCACTCCTTTTGCTCAACTTCGGTACAGCATTTTCATATTTTTCAAAGGCTGGAGATGCTGTTAAGGAAGGGGACTCCGCCGCCGAATTCTGCAGGAGCATCTTGCTGTTATTTCTTTGTTTAAAAGCAGAGGTGCCTC